TTGCTGTTTTCGCTAATTCAGCGATGGGGTTTGGCTCACTATTTAATTATGTTTTTGGAAATCCATTACAGCGACAGTTAAGTTTGATTCTTTATGCTACTATCAGTCGTCATTTTAAGATTCCCGTAGATTTCTGTCTTCAAACTTGATGTGTTATGGTAACAACTCAGGGGCGAGAGTGGCTAGACTGAAATGTTTTGCGCGAAACGCGCGAAAATAAAACCTGCGCGAAATATACTACGTTTACAGTAGCTTTCTGGATCACTTGTGTTGACATTGAGAGGGTGGCCATGCCGCGATTGTGAAAAGCAGTAAAAATACCAGGATTTTGGAAATGTTTGACATAAATAAACAAGTTTAAAGGTAAGAGATTTGAAAATAAGATTATATGAATATAACTTTGAAAAGTGACCGAGCTTACATGACACAAGGGTATATGTTTGTTAAGTCCCATTTATATTCAATTTACTTGCATAACTTAAGTTGAAAGCGAAATGCAAGAAACTGTTAAAAATATTGGTTTTATAAACTGGAGCTTACTACAAAATGGGAATTATCTGGTAAGACTTCCGCCCGTACCCCCCTTACATTTTAACGATGAGGACATTTCTTTGAGTGACATTTTTAGAAGTTGAATATGTGTTTCAATATGTTCAGATACAATTAAAAAACATGTTAAAACTAATCTTTATCAGATGAGGAATATATGTTAGATTCTGTTGACATGATTTGAAGGAAATGTAAGGGGGGATACGGGCGGAAGTCTTTCCCACAATACATTTATCTCCATATGAAAAACATTCCTTCTAGATGGCTAGACATGTCTCTTATAAACTAGGTCGTTTTAACAAAAACACACACGTATTCCAAAAGTTCGTGTGGCGATGCCTAAGCAGACTTTGTCCAGAGTGCGGGTTCAACTCGCAGCTACCTGTCAACTGGTTTAACTCTTTCATTTGTTCATGACATCGTGTAGAAGTCATCGATATGTATATCAACACTAATATGCTTATGACCAAGGTTAAAAACACTTACCTATTTCGCAAACTAAGCGCTATTAGGCACTTTGAAAAACATGCTGTCACCTTTCGCTTTTCGCAAACCTTAATCTCCCGCCTGATACTGCTTCCGGTTTGTTGCAATAACGAAAAGCGAACCATAAATGAATCGGAAAAGGAATAGAAAAGCACGACGCAGTTTCATGTGACTCATACACTAACTATAATACATTATATTGTATCCAATATCAATGAATTGTTAACAATGCTTCCACCATTGTAGGATTCATTGCTGCCAAATATATTTTAACAGAGTTGAATTTTTTTATTACCACTCCATCATTGCCCAATGAATTCGAATTATAAATTCAATAAGATGCTTGGCATAAGAATAACATTTCGCTCTACATATAATGCAATAATGTACAGTTTTGCCCTTAACTACTATAGTTAAAGTGCCATTGCTCTCTAGCCAGGAGTGCTGTCATTCAACCATTTGTTTTTCTGTTTGAATATATACTACTCCAAGTATCCAAAAAGGAAACGCATAGGCGTTTTGTATTTTTTAGAAATCTGTTATTTACCTATTGTGTTCAAACAATCGTCAAAATATGTAATAAAAGTGTTGATAACATGATTTTACACAATTGCACAAGTAAAAAATCGACTTTACCTAAAAAGGTTGATTTTGATGAGATTTCTTACATGGATTAATTATAAATGCATCACCACAACGCAACAGAAATCACCTACCAGTTGAAATTGTGCAGCAAAGAGCATGCACTGTCTGGCTATAAAATCCAGATTACTTTCGGAAATTGACATTCGTTCTGAAGGAGTTTCAAGGTCAAATCACTACGCCACGTCTTGACGCTACGACACGGAACATCGCCATTGAAAGAATGCACGCTGGAGATTACCAATCTTTTGTTGGTTAGGTCCCATACTGCCTACAGTTCCAAACTGCCAAAAAATATATTGTAGGCAGCTTGGGAAATGATTTTTTGCCCTGTAGAATAATGGAACAGCCCAATTATCAATGAAGAAGGGATGTGTCGTTTGGAGTAAGGTAGTAGTAGTTATTTGCTTTATTTAATGTCGCACGCACAACTAAGGTATTTCGGCGACGGGGTAGTACACTTATACAAGAAATGAGGGGAACAAACAATAGAAATTTTGAAAGAGTGGTGTTACTACCGCCCAAAAAAACCCTCAACAACTGAGTGTTAAGGGAAAGTTGAATCAGATGCCGAATTAAAAAGGTAAAATGAAATATGAAATAGGTAGAGAGTATTAGAGATTTTGAATTTAATATAGATGTGGTGTAGTAAATGGTTATTGTTATTGTATTGTTTAACCAACCCATGTTTAAAAACATATTTATTAAGTGAATAATGATAAATATATAAAAGGTAAGGTATATATTGTTTTTGTTGCTAGATTGTTTGGTATAATTTTGTATGAATGAGATATTTAGTGAGTGGTTTAATTAATTTGGAATTTGTTAGAATGTGCTTGAAATCAGAAGAGTACTACTGGTTTTGGTATCTACATACCCCAAAAAGCGTTAAACAATCCTATAATCTCCCGGCAAACTCCAGTATCTTCACAGCAGAACTCGCAGCCATAGATCAGGCCTTGCAAACAACATCTGACCAAACAAACACTACCATCTGCATTTTTACGGATTCCTTAAGCTCCATACGGGCTCTCATAATTTACTCTACAACAAAAAGACCATAAGATCTAATAAATAACATATACAGGAGAATACTATACCACCAACGAGTGTTGATATATTTGATATCAGAAGACACGAGGGTGAGATTCTATTTATCATAAAAAATCACTCTTCATTAGTTTTCAATGAAAATGTACATCTCTGAACACAGTACTGCCATTAGATTTGCAGTGCAGCGATGTCATAATATTGTGACGTCAACAAGTTCATGACGTTATAGCATTGTCAGGGCATTGTACAAATTCTACTGTCAAAACGATATTTCCTAGGAGATATCGTCTGATCTCACACAAGCGATATCTACTGTGGAACACAGGTTTGGATGCTGAATCCATGTCTCTATGTAAAGACAGAGAATTCTCAGAATGAATAAACCAACCAACACTTGTCATTTTTTAAACTTCTGTAGGCAGAGTGGGAAGACACCATAGAACAGGTTAGTTCATTAACCAAGTAACTGGTCAAGTTCATTTAAGCAGGGGTAGAACAGGTCAGAGCGGTGTATTCACTTCCTGATCACTGGACCTATCATGTTGTTTTAACCTGTAGGCAGTTTGGAACTGTAGGCGGTATGGGAAGACACCCTTTTGTTGCCAGGCGCCTGAATATTAGTCTGAGCACGATATCTCGGCTTACAGCTCGTTACAACCAAACAGGCATAACAAATGACCGTCTCCGTACATGCAGACCGAGAGTCACCACTGTAGCCCAAGATCGGTACAACCGGGTACTACAATTGCGTGATCGTACTTCCACGGGTGAGAGCACAGCAGCCAGGGTGCCTGGACTTCGGAAGATATCCGGTCAAACTGTACGGAACAGGTTGAGAGAGATTGGACTGAGAGCCAGGAGATCCGACGTCGGGCCCGTGCTACGTCGTCAACATGGCGCTCAACGTCTTCGTTATCTAACATTATAAACTTGGTTGTATAGATATTTCATTCTTCTAAACTGTCTATCGTCTATTTGTGGGCGAGTTATACATTTTTGAAAATACAACATTTCGCGACAGATTACTGGGTTATGCGTTTCTTTTTTGTTAAGTATACATCTAAAATGTACCTATTGTCTGCACTTGTGGGAGCTTCTGACAAGACGCTTAGTTTTAAAATACGCGTAACGTATATGTTGAGGTTTGTTTCATTTCAAATTCACTCAGACCTAGCCTCAAAACGTGGATCTAATGAATACACAAGAAATACAGTTTTTTACCAAGCAGGACATTATATAACTGCAAATGCACAATGCCTTTTAGAAACTGGGAAAATAAATGTAACAACTGTTATATTTTGGATTAGGTTTCCTTAGTACAGTACACGTTGGAGAACATTACTGCGCTGAGTATCTGCCGGGATTCGAACCGAGAGTCTCAGATTTAGGACCCTGATGGAGAGCACCAAGAGCATTCAGAGTTTTCGGCAACACAAGCTGTGCAAATGGGCACACAAAGTGTGTGATCATACATACCAGTCAGCAGACCTTTTGTGTGGAAGCCTTGGTGTCTGAGATCACTGTCCCTGTGATGGGGGTCTGGTACCCTAGCTGAGAGTTTTGGTTCGAATCGGGAATGGACTCCATTCTTCTTCAATTTTGTACACACGTACTAGAGGGGGTCATCAATTTTGTACATAAAGATGGTCAAGGTGGGGGGGGGGTCATTCACATTGTACATGTTTCTCCATAAAAACCACCCCCACTCCCGGTCATATTTTATGTTCCTTCCTAAGAAAGTGTAACCCCCCACCCCCCACCCCGCCGAAATATTAACTGTAAATTAATTATAATATAATTGTTCGTTGTTGCCAATATTATATTAAAGTAAAATGACGCCCAACGACCACGTGTGACCGAAAACTGCGGACTTTGTCCTGCCATCTGCAGCTTACGCGTCCTCACTTCAGCCAGGAAGACCCAGGTCACCCATCTACTCGGATGGGTTCACTTTAGATCTCACATCGTGTATTTGTGTGTACGCGAGCATTCGTGAGCGCCTAGTGCTTTTAGGGAGTGAGTTGGTTTTACGCCGCTTTTACCAGTATTCCAGCAGTATCACAGTGGGTGACACCAGAAATGGTCTTCTCACATTTGTGGGTAATCGAACCCGACCTTCGGCATGAGCTAACGGTTTAACCACTGTCCCACCACACCGCGCGCCATCTTCGGGGTAAAAACCCAGCCACGTGTAGAGTAGGGTTTAAAATCATCTCTCGGCATGTTTGAATGTGAAGAAAAAACATGCGATAAACAACAAATTCTTCCAGTGAGAACAAGTAAGAGTTTATGTTTACAAGTACAAAACAATAACAAATAAAACGTACTTTCTATAAATAACATATTACATGTTAACATTTACTTGAGCAATATTTAATTGCACATTGAAATGTGAATCGTGAACATGAGCACGGAATGTCAGGAGAAGTCAATGATGCAAGTATGGTACCGAATGGCCTTATGAAGCTACACATGTAGATTGATCAAATAACGTATTTTAGGCCAAAATATCTGGATAATAAAAACATCTGAACAAAAATGCTCTAAAATAGCTATGAAAATATGCATCTTTGGTAAAAACTAATTGTTAAGAAATTACATAGTGTCTAAACAATCTAGTACCAACTTCATTTGATTGCAATCTACACTTGTACACGTTACGTATTCGTGACACAATGTATTACCGGTTATAGAACCATCGATCAGACATGCTCATCATCACCGCTTGAACACAGCTGAATAGATAACAAACTGTAATATTAAATATACGTCATAACAATACTGCATGTGAATATACAGTAGGATAAATAATGTTCATCGTACTAGTGTTATCTATAAACATGCCACCCCATGTGTTATTTAGGGGCAGGTTATAGAAAGGGCTGAGTATAGAAAGGGCCAGCTGGAGTTCGGTGTAAATAACACCATGATCACACGTCTAGCAGTAGGACAACATCGATAATACAGATCAACACTTGTTGGGGAAATGACCTGTACAGCAGGGCAGAGGGGTGTGGGGTGTTTCATGTGGGATCTCGATGCCATGGGTGTCACATTTCCCGAACACCCGGTGTCATCGCTATCTGACGGTGATCTATATGCACACGCTTCTGATGCATTACATTGGACACTGGGTTAAGATGGGAGTTTGTATGGTTATGCAAATATTTTAGTTGTTTTTAATTGCACACGGTGAAACGTAGTGACACTGATGTCGCCATTCCCACACTACTGAGGAAAGGGTCAAATAGTGTAATGTCCCCATTGTTTCTCCATAGACTTGTAGTCTTTGTTTCACTGTAGCAATCGGGGATGTGGCGTAACACGTAAACCAGTTTCATCTGCAAATATCATTTAAATAGTAGCACCATTATGCTTGCAAGCTCTGTGTTCACGTTATGAATTAGCATTGAGAAAGAACAGGTAGAGGACGTCAGACCTGCAGTCTCGATTATCCAGTCTATTCGGCCTCAGTGATGCATCTCCACCAGTAGAGAGTATTAACTCCTGGTCCCAGGCAGCAGAGTGTGACTCGTGTCTCGAAACAATTTTACTGTTTCACTGTAATCATCAAACTATGCCATACAGTCGCCATCGAGCGAGAACACAACGAGCTGTGTCCAGTGTTTACTTTACCGCCATCGGTGCCATTGTCATTCATGATGCCTTCATCACAATGGCTGAATACAGCATGGCTGGCGCGTCAGTGGGAAGTATTTCATTCCCTGTCTTCATCATGAATTAGTGTCTCCATTGTGTAATATCTGGCCGTTATGTACTGAATGCTTTCCGGGAATATTGCCATCTGTTTCTCCTCCGCCACCGCTGAAACACTCGCGAACCTGTTCTGCTGCACGTACACAATCCCCCGAGTCACGATTATCACTATCTGAGGGTGCACTGACCTCCAGAGCAGAACCCCTAGCTGCTATTTCATTATCGTGTGTTATAACGTCTTGTTGGTTTATATGAACAATATTGTCGTCTGTTATTTCAGGGGAATTTGACGTATGATGTGACGTGGGCGTATTGTGTGACGTCATGGTGGTATCTTGTGACGTCACTGTGTTTGTCTCGCCTGACTGTTTCTTGGACGACTCGCCTGTTTCGTGAATGGTAGGAGCTTGTTTCTTGCATTCGGAAGAATCATCGGGTCGGCTTGCGTTCATTAGGGCAGACGACATCGTTGGGTCAAAGAAGTCACCAGGTAGCCATATATGTTTAGATCCCGTGATGTAATGCCGGAAATGACGTAGCACGCGACTTCCCAGTGAATTATAAGATTCTCCCATAACCTGAAAAAGCCAATAAACGTATTTCTAGTAGGTGATTCGCGCAATAGAACATCAACAGTATTCACAGTCCTTACTCAGTGTCAAAGAAAGGGGATGTCAATGTTTCAAATATATAATATTACTTATTCAAATATTGCTTAAATCTCGACAAAATGTAACCCCACAGGTTTTATAAAAATACAATCATATGAATGTGTCGTGAACGTCTCACGTCGCTTTGTCGAAGGCTGATAATTTACCTCTATTTCCAGGTCTTGAGTTCCAATGGTGAGTTTGGCTCTGTACAGGCTCTTCCTCCTGGAAGAGTGAACTCCCTTGCTGTTGATGGGTCCGATGAGCTCCGGGTTTAAGGTGTACAAAAGATCTTCTTGTAACGTTGTGACGTCACTTCCGGAATCGACCATGAAGTCTGTGGAAACAAGCACATTGTTGGACATGGAAACCTCACCAAAAGGCATGGGGCACAACAAAAACAGCAAGAACCTGAGACGCACTAAGTGCCCTGACACACACGTGAAGAGGAAATGTGTGTCTACACTGCTACAATTTGAGAAATGGCATATGTAGATTGATGCGAAAGTGGGCTTGTTTTACGGTAACTTTAATAAATAAATTTATTTTAGTTATATAATGACAGTTGTAACTTTATTTTAGTGAAAGCTGATGTGGAAACCGGAAGTGATGATGCAGGCCGATCATTTGAACGCCAGAAAAAGAGTGTGTTTTTTTCGAAAGGCTAATCAAACACTCTTTAAGTCATCGAATATGAAGATCGTGGAATATATTCTGATCTCACATAAGCTGGTCACTTACTGATGTTACAGTTTGCTAAATGGAGACACCTGAGTGGATCGCTCTTGCACAGTTTGTGTACGAGCATTGTCTTACCTATTTTGTGACTTCTGGAGGCGTCCCGTGTCGATGCTATGGTGGCCTCCACGCAGAGGAAGTCGTACTTGGCGTCGTCGAGGTTGGTGGGTTTACCCCAGAACCCCTCGGCGACGGGAACCTCGAGATCCGAGTCTTCGGTCCTCCGACGCTTGTTCAACTGGCGCACTGCCGAAACAACATAAACAATATATATATAGCTCACTGCAGCTTCCTGCTATAGGAATGGTTGTATTATACAATGTACATTTGGAAACAATGCATGCAATTGTTGGGTATTAGATCGTGTAATCACCATACTCCCAGTAAACCTAGTGTAAGACTGTTAGTGTTAAAAGTTCTTGATGTATGAAACATACGTAGATTTGCGACAGACGTATGTAATGCTGCACTCTTGTATGGTGACGTAGACCTACCACAGAGTGCTCTAATCTAGTCGTAAATCGTTTTACGTAAACGTCTCAGATATAGAGAATCTCACTCAAGTGTCTCCTGCTATCAATTATATCAACACGAGTTGATAAAGTTACAAATATCCGAGGCTTGCTGAGAATATTTTTACTTTTATGAACGAGTGATATTCTATTTATCATCAAGAATTACTCTTCATTAGTTTTCAATGAAATATGTACATCTGAACACGGCACTGCAGCCACATCATGCCATTGTGACGTCATCAGGTATTTGACGTCATAGCATTGTGAGTCATGTAACTGATGAGGTCAGGGCATTGTACAAAATCCAAGGATATATCGTTTGATCCCACACAAGCAATATCTCCAGTGGAACACTGTTTTGGATGATAAAATGAGGATTGAGAGGACGATTTAGGACGATGTTTGTGGTTATTAACATTGCTGAAACTGTTAACGCTTTCCTGGCCCAGATTCAAGATTCAAGGTCGCCGACTGCCTTTTGCAGTTAGGAAGCGTGCCCACGGTGAACACAAGCCAGTAATTGCTGAGATTTACGGGTATGTTGTGTGGAGAGAGCAGATTATACGACCACGTTCACAATGCATAGCAAACCATGCCATTCTCACAAGTCCACGGTATTGGTTTAGAAGTACGACACCTAGTCCAATACACTTAGAGGAAGTAAACAAGCCCACGCGAATGTAGGTTAAAATATATATATAGCTTGACCTAGTTACGTCATACGTCTATTCGTATTGCTTATGAAAGTTTCTCATGGGAACATATGTTAAACGATGCAGTTTTGCAGTCATGATTTGACCTCTGACATGATAGCATGACATACATATCATTTTCAAAAGAATGAAGGTGTAACATCGGTATGCCTGAGTAGATTTGTGGTCTTTGGTTTCAGAACAGGTTTACACAATCACCACCAGCACACTGTCGCCATTACTCAATAGTTGTTTGCCGCGTTAAAGGCAGCGGTCTGTCATTAATAGTTTCTCTGAAAATATTGTTAAACGGAATTAAATCTGTAAAATCTCACTCCACGGGATTAAGTTCGAAGGGGCTTCTAAACCATCTGTTGCCAGTTAAGCATGACGTTTTAATCCGTAGGTAGTGATTACAGTCTTAGTGGTGACGGTATCAGCTGTCGGGAAGAATCTATACTATGTTGGCTTATACTGTACATTCCGTGCATTCCAACGACTTTCATTTCTCATAATTGTACATGGGCCGGTCGTATTTCACTGACGCCTTGATTGGGAAGAGTGGAGTATAGAGTGATTGGTTGAATAAAATCTAATATCTGAAATAAACATATTTTACAGAAATAGTTCCATAGTTATCTTCATAAAGTATATTAGATAGGAGCCATGACACTTTCTCCATTTTCCGACACTGTGGAATATAGACTTGCCAATATTCTATACTTTCCAGTATTCTAGATGGGATGTATTGGGCATATTTGTTTCAGGGTCTGTGTGACAGATGAGGTTTGAAGAAGAAAAGAAAGAAGAGGTAAAAGAATAGATAAGACAAGCTTCTTCAAAAAGAATAGATAAGACAAGCTTCTTCAAAAAGCACAGTTTTCAGGTGGTTCTCAAAATGAATGAAAACGTATCAACTTAGTTTACTGTTACAGTGAAAATAATATCTTTTGTTTATTTCTTGATGATATCAAACAAAAACATCAGCGAGATAAGATCATATTATTAGGTCTACACACTAATTACATCTCTGCACCACCGTGTAAAATATGACGTGAACATCCATTGGTCATGTGACAGGTTGACAATTATTGCCTTAGCTGGGGCTTCTATGATTCGTGGAAATACCTCGATCCTTTTTCTGAACTGATGTGATAGTATTCGTGAAATACAAAAAGTTTCTAACACTTTATTTCAAACATTACAGGGCAATACATAAGTGTTTCACTGTATATCGCAAGTAAAGGATATTCTAGGCACATATTTAATTGTGTCTAAAAATGAAACAATCAAGAACTGCCATTGTATTCGCTGTATTTGATATTCATGTATACATGGTTGTGTTCTGGACAACAGTTTCGGAGACTTTGTTCATCCGTATAACCTTTGATAACGTTTTAAATATTTCGTTCGAATCCATTGATCAAATGTATACTTTTTTTGCCAAGTACTGTTTACTTCGGCTTCCTAAAAGGACTTTAGAACGAGTTATGGATGTTTTGAAAGTGTTGGTGTGTTACATTCACGCTTGTTCCTGTGCGTGACTTGTTACAGTCTGGTACCAGTGTAGGACAGTGGAGAACTACATGTAGTTGGTCTACGCACCTGCCCTCTCTAGTCGCCGTTGGTGCCCCAGCATTGTCATCTCCAGCTCGTCGTACACGTTGACGTCGGGAAGACTGAGACGTGCGATGTCGTCCAGGTCCACGAGTTCGCTGCCGATGAAACCGACGAAGTAATGCTCAAGCTCATACCCCCGCAGCCATTCTAGCAACTTGCTCTCCACGCTGATCTTGTGCTTCTTAGCTGTGAAGAAGGAGCACCGGCATTGATGAGTTTGACACAACAACAACAACAACAACAACAACAACAATAACAACAACAACTACTACTAAACAGTAATCCATCACTTCTAATTCCACCATTGCGTTGGGTTAGTTGCAATAAAAGCAACACTGACTCGAGGCGGCGGGGTAGTCTAATGGTTAAAGTAACTCTCTAGGCCCGGCTGTTGATTCCCAAATTGGTACAATGTGTTAAGCCCATTTCTGGTGCCCCTGTCGTGATATTGCAAGAATATTGCTAAAAGCGGCGTAAAACCATACTTACTCACTCACTCAAAACTTACCCTTTTCTACCACTAATGCCAGTAAGTTTGCTTGTTGTTCAGCACCACACCCAACAATATTCCAGCTGTATGGCGGCGGCCTGTAAATAATCGAGTCTGGACCAGACAATCCAGTGATCAACAGCATGAGCATCGATGTACGCAAATTGGCATACGATGCCATGTGTCAACCAAGTCAACGAGCCTTACCACCTGATCCCGTTAGTCGCCTCTTACGACATGTATGGGCTGCTGAAGATCAATTCTAACCCGGATCTTCAAGGATAATTGCTTGTGTTCATGTGCCACCAATACATGCGATATGCATGTACCTTCAACATGCCCAGACAAACATATCATTCTGAAACACAATTACCAAACCCATGTGAAGACACATCCCAATGCCCCATTAACAAACCCACCCGAAAGACACAAAGTTAATTGTATATACATTGTTTATACACTGGGTGTTAAGACGTTGTCGTGCAATTATATCAGCTATGTCAAACAGTGTATTGTTTACGTCATCCTTGTGTCAAGACCCCTGTAGACAGTCCACATTCATTATCACTGAGTACCGACCATCTAGCGGTACGTGCAGGATTGATTGTGCAATCACCAATCAACACCACACACCTCGGGTCATTAACGCGTGATTGTGTTGGGTAAAACTGTAACAGTTACGGGTAGTTTGTCAGACAACTGACGCTCTCAAATGAGCACCCAAGTCACGAAACCAGTCAAGCGGAACATCTTCACTGTCTCGTTAGACAGTCACCTGGCCTCATTCACCATGATGTTATGTACTCCAAGGCCAGCATACAACTAGCAGATAAGATATACATTTGGAATATATTCCTAACATTCGCAAATAACAAATATCACACTGCATTGTGGGTAAAACTATTACCTACGTAGGTTAAACCGCCTGACATCCATGATACAATATAGGCTTAAAAACAAACATAAACCTAGACACAAAACAGCCTGTAGTCTACCTGAAAATAGAATTATAGCAAAATTTCAGAAATCTCTGTATATGCAAATATATTCCTATCACCCCTTGTTTAACTATCGCACTAAGACAGATTATGACTGTGCACATAGATCATACTATCAGTCGATAAGATCCTTAAGCCCCAGTAAGATTATCGAGCTAAAAGTACCCGATATTCTGTCAGCTGTCGGACTACTCACCTGCCGAAAGTAGGTCACGCCGGTGGGAGGGATCCATAATGCACATTGCATCTAAATCGTCCTCCCCTATATACTGTAGGTCTGTCTCGCGATCGTAACCTCTGTGAAGAAAGCTGGATATATATCCTTGTAATCCGATCGACTGGAGAAATAAATCCACACCACGAGACATCGCGAGTTCATTCTCGTTCATGGTTGATTATAATCGTCCAAATGCGATCCTAACGGGTAAAATGCATCCGTTTAACTGCTGAGGATAACTGTTAATACCTTTACTTATTTACAACATGTCGCTATCGTGCCCTCAGTCGCTTTCAAGGGACAACAAAGCAGGGCAAACAATCAACATTCCATTGGTCGAGAGCAAAGGGACGCGTCTCAGGTTGCTAGGAAACAGCCAATCACCTTTTGACACTCGCAAATGGGTTGAAAATTTGCCGTTTACGATTGTGGAAAATCCGGTCTAAAATTAGACCCAGCATGCGAGTAATCGGGCTATTCTTAGCACAGCGACAACGTGGACTGTCACGTGATATCCAAAAGGCTATATTTAGATGAACCACGTGACTTTGAAGGGAATCCACGACAGCAAGATGGCGTCTTCACAAGCAAGCGAACGAAGAGTTGCTCTTATCACCGGTATTACAGGACAGGTATTGGTTTTATGTTTTAAAAGACAGATGTTTGTAATGGGAGTTTGATATATACAAAACTGTGTTTTCTTATCAGTGAAACGTGATTTGGATAAGATTCCAAGTTGCATACAATGATTGCTTCACGTGCAGGTACGTGTTGTAACGAGACATACCGGTTGCTCAACACCCGTCAAAATGTATTAAGCTTGAATGAAACGTTCGCAGGAATTAACAGTAAGGATAATATCCAACATCTCTAACTAACGAAACATTCACCCGGAATTATTAACATGTCTGTCAGCATGAGTATGATTGTGAATAACGATTTCTTAACTATTTATTTCAAAGGCAAATTGGCTACCTTTTCTAATTGAATGATGTTTTATTCGCATACAGGGGGGTGGGGGCGGTGGCGGCCCATTATACAGCTAAGAGCAGAATAACGACTGCTTTACAGGAGAGCTCAGAACAAACATGACTTAATTATACCATGAAAGTATTTGCAAGACAATGAGAGGTTTTTTTCTTTGAATAATGTTTTTTTGTTGTTTTTTTTAAAAAAAACCCATTCTACTGGTAGTGATATTCTGATAACATATTGAGCACATATAAGCTGTAGGCTTCCATCCCCTTTCTATCCATCCTCTTTTTCTTCTCACACATCTTGTATCACTGACATGTATTCCCCTTCCTATTAGTATTAAAGAAAGATAAATAAAATATTCCAAAGTGCCTTTACCTATACTGAATGTTTCAGAGTTACAGTTTGTGAGTACAATCAAAATTCCATAATAATCATTAAAGTTATGAATTCACAATGCCATTTCTAAAATTATTCCAAACATAACATGTTACATCCTTGAAGTTTCATGGCACACTTCCTATTAGTGAAATATTTAGTTAACAGTAAATGATATATCTTTTGGACATATGACAAACCTCACCACAAATGCTTGACTGATGAATTGTATATAATCCCCCTCCTATGGGTTAATCAGACACCTGAGAACATTTGTTGTCACAATAATCGCATGAACATGTCATTTTAACTTATTGAAGATAAATTTATGTAAAGCTCAAGATATTATTCACGAATTTACAATGTCTGTGTGACGCAACAGCTCTCTATTATCTCTGTGCCAATAACATTTCTTTCATAACAGTCAACATATGATCTGTTTTAGTGTCTGCTATAATTACTAATTAGCCTGTTCACTAATTACTGGTTTAATGACTGATGAGGATTATTGTACGTCAATTATTCTTTCAAGTTAGATTCATGAGACGGTTCATCTCGTTATGGGTCGAATGTTCTTGTGATGTTGTTTTAAGTGATGTGTTTACAGACTATTGAAACAGGATTACAATTGCTGTGCATTATTTCACGGGGATTAGTGATGGTAAATTACCTGGAGACAATATATCTTTTATAATCTAATGTGTATTCAAACATGGTTACCTTATTTCTCATGTTTAGAGGTATGTCAGAATATCCTGAAATAGGTTGTACCACCAACACACCAGAGTGTGTATGTCAACACCTACATAGAACTTTATAACTGAAGTTTCTTTTATAATTTCATTATTTTCATATGTTATGGAATTTATTTTTGAATATTGTTGTTTATGTTTTGTGATAATGGTTAATGCTTGATTAAGGGCATAGAGCATTTCCTCCAGAACATGCACCATGACAACATGAGATCTGGTTTTAGTTTTCCAGGTCATTACTTGCCTGGCAAGTAAAAAAAAAAAATTACTTGCTTGGCCTTTCATGACTTCTTTAGTGTAATTGGGATTATTGTCTGTCAATTATTCTTTCAAGGTAGACACGATAGTAGACTCACGAGCTGATCCCGCTCGTTATGGGTGAGATGCTGGTGTGATGTTCTTGTAAGTAATGTGTTTACAGACTGTTGAAACAAGAATACAATTAGTGTCCTTTGTTTCACAGGGATTAAATCACCTTGATGGCGAATGACTTTAAGAATTTCAGGTTTTGTAACCAAATCTGTCTCCAAATGTTTTGCCATTGGTTCGTTACCATTCTCATTGTAATAAAGCAATGACCAAGACAATGAAGACATATGAAACTGATCAGAGAAACAGTTTTAAGGAAATGAGCTCTGAAGTTTGTTACTAAAAACCTAATTAGCCGCTCAGTAATTGGTACTGATACCTCTTTACATGCTTAATGTGTGATCAACCCGTGAAGGTCCGGGTTAGAATATTGATCTTCAGTAACCCATGCTTGTTGTAAGAGGCGACTAACAGGATCGGGTGGTCAGGCTCGCTGACTTGGTTGACCCAATTGCGCAGATCGATGCTCATGCCGTTGATGACTGGATTGTCTGGTCCAGACTCGATTATTTACAGACCGCCACCATATAGCTGGAATATTGCTGAGTGCGGCGTAAAACAAAACTCACTCACTCACTTAATGTGTGATCAGCAGGTGGATATATCGCACATTTTGTTTTGCCCTGTTTGATGTTAGCATCGATGAAATCACCTTTGAGAAAATTTAATCAATTAATTCACAACAAACTATTGTATTATTACTAGTTGGATTCATCATTTCACAGCTGCCACCATATGGCTGGAATATTGCTGAGTGCGTCGTAAAATTGAACTCACTCACGTCATTTGACAGTAATGATGATTTCAATAAAAAAAATGATCTGTATTTGGTTGGTTGTTACAGGTTCAATGTCATGAAATCCAGTTTAATGATTTATTTTACAAAGGGTGCAATATGTTACAAAGCTTTCAGAAATATTCAAATCAATATGAGCAATAATATCTGATAAAAAGTAGCAGTAGAAAGATAATTTTTGCCAGTTTGTGGCAACATATGTTGGCGTACAATACTGACTCATGTTATGATCTAAATATGGCTTTGATAAGATTCAGCTGTTGCAGCTGACTGACTTTGGTTCGATTCCCCACATGGGTACAATATTTAGATCTCGTTCCTGCTTTCCCCTGGCATATTGCTGAAAGCAGCGTGAAACTATACTCATTCACAACCTATAGCATGCTGACATATCTGGCACACTACTGAACCTTGCAGGGGTGGTGGGGTAGTCCAGTGGATAAAGCGTTCACTCATCATGCCGAAGACTGGGATTCGATTCACATGGGTACAATCTATGAAGCTCATTTTTGGTGTCCCTCGCCATGTTATTCCTGGAATATTGCTAAAAGCGATGGAAAACCCAACTCACTCACTCACTCACTCTTAACAATGCTGTTTATTTGTTTTATATGTGGCATGGTAACTTGGATGGGTGGTTTCACACATTCTGTGCTTCAAGTGACAAATCAATCTGCTCACATTTATTCCTGGTTATTGTTAAGACATACCCTGACATTTTCGAACATTCGGAAAACCAGAGCAAACTCAAAGTTTGTAATTTTTCTTGATTTTCACCTGAATTGTGAAATTGAATGTTGGAAGTGTTTGATATTACGAACCTGTCTAAATCATTAATTGGACATACTCAGGGGTAGTGTTTGACATGGTATAAATGTTTGGGAATTTAGGACAAGGCGATGATTTGGTTGTTTCTGAGTTAAATGTCTTTGATTTACAATTGTTTAGTGTTGTTTAATGCCACACTGTGCAATATTTTAGCTATATGGTGGTTGTCGGTCAATCATAGACACTCCTAGTGTAATATTATGACAGCAGTTCACACCACCTGCCATGCTAACAATACATTAACCGAGACTGACCATGTTGTCCACTGTGATGCCTCTTACAACCCACGTGGTTTTCTGGGGACCAGTTCAGAGCTTGCAATCCTGCCATTGCCAGTTGTTTATATATTGGCTAAAGGTCAGCGTGGAACATGTGTAAGCTTGGTGCCCTGTCCCAGTCTTTATTTAAATCCCATTTCTGGTGTACCCCACTGTGGTGGTGCTGGAATATTGCTTTAAGCGGCATAAAACTATACTCGCTCGCTCACTCACTCACTCTTGAATTCTTGACAAGACACAAATAGATATAAATATTTCTTATCACTTGTTAAACTACAGAAAGGTTATCTAAAATGTCTGTTTAACCAAGAAAAAATAAAATAATGAAAATATTCCCCAAAGTATAGAAACAGTGCTGTTTCGATAGTCCATTGACTGGGAGGTGTGACAAGTGGACATCAAGTGATGGATACTACAATGTTGTACTTCCAGCCCACAGGAGGCCGGAAGGAGATGATATTGATTGCATGCATTAAACATGTTGGTAATTACTGTACTGTCGCAGCAAGCGGTTGAGTGACCAAACCACGCTGAGTATAAAGCGTTTGGTATAAAGGCACAATGTCACACATTTTTGACAATATTTTGACCTATATTATATATACTGGGGCATATGCACTCACTTTAGTTTTCCTTTGATGCAATAAAACACTTATTATCCCTTACGACTTGCCTGAAATCGATAATTGAACTTTGTGCGAACAGCTTCCACACAGAGAACACTTGCCTAATATGGAATGTAAACAATTGCTGTGTCCATCGAAAACTGTCACACGCGATGTTGTCAGTGTTTGCCGACAAGTTGTGCATAGGATATTCGTAAAGAGCTCTCCAAGGGACATGACTCTATGGGGTTCACTTGAACTATTGTTCGGCTGGTAGAGGGTGCGAGAGTCGATCTAATGCAACGTTGCATTAATTCATTCTAACTTTTTAATTCAATATTGTAATCTAAATCCGTAATATTGTTTTTAATGAATTATATGGTAGCTTCCCTGAGGGCTGATATTAATATATTGACACTAAATCAACCAATATGTACATTTTTGATTCTCCTCTAAAACTGATTGCCAGATTTTGTTGGACATGCTTGCTGTACTACCAAAATAGTTGTGAGCATTTTGAGCAAATTCAGATCTTAATCATCACTCTAAATAAGGTTGTGAGGACATCCCATAATGGTCACTTCAGAACGACCTTTCATCCGACCAACCAGAGGGTAGCTTACTAGATTTGGATACCCATGGAGATCCGGG